CGAAGAAGATGACGAAAAAGCAGAAAGAGGAAACAACAGCAAAGTACACTGTATCACCAGCTGAATGAAGTGTAAACAGTAAACAAAATTTTCATCATTCTACTCCTTTACCTTTAGTGAAGAACCGTTTTTCAACCCCATCCTATCAAAACCAACCAAAAATTTATGCCGAAATATTCTTACTAATTCTTTCACCCTTTCTTTGCCTTCTCCACCCTATTCGACTTCTCAAAAACGTAAGTAAAAAAAGCTAAAAATACAGGTACGATTAAAAAAGAGGGAGTGGAAAAAGTTGGTAAAAAAAGTCTTTCTAAAAACCAAGCAAAAAAACTTGAGGTCATAATAAAAAAGGCTCAGTGTTTTCACAAAAATAAAACACATATACGTACATACACATACACACACACACTAACATAAACATAGAATACACTGATATCTACAATCATCCCCACATATTTCCATAACCCTATCCATCCATCCACCTCACTATTTATCCAGCTACCCATCCATCTATCCATACCAAATTCAAAGTCGGCAGCATTTGCAGCAACATCATCTTCATCATCATCATCATCAACAGCAGGAACAGCAATAGTCTCCCTTCAGAGCAGATGGAAGAAAGTGAAAAAGAAAAGAAGGGGAAAGGGCGAGGAGGATTTGGGGGGCTGCGGGGAGCGGAGCGGGAGAAACTGGGGGACGGGGAGAGCCTTTAAGAAAGAGCGCAAACCACAATGCAATACGGGATTAACACTAATTACTACAACAAGAAGCATTACTAAACCACATGTTTTGCGGCAGACGTTGAGCAAAAAAGAACGAAGAACCTTTTGTTACTGAACGCATATTTATAAAACAAATCCACATTGATATAACAATTGCTTTTTTTTCTGTTCTCCATCATCTTAAGTTTTGTTCCAGCTATAACAAACGGTATGTTGGAATTATGATCACCAACTATCCGTTGTTGACAAAAAAAATCAACAGCAACATCAACAACAACAACAGCAACATCAACAACAACAACAGCAACAACAACGAAAACAAGGATGTATACAACAAATTAATAACACAAAACTACCTTTTTCTTCCACCTTTACTGCACTTGACCGTTTTCTTCAAACCCCAATCAACTATTACTTCTCAGCTTTTCCAAATTACAGCTGGCAAAATCTACTAGATATAAAGGTATAAACACATCTATTTGCTCGATAAGCAGCGAATGGAAATCACCGTAGCTGGACAAACAAAACAATATCATAGTCACCGTAACCGGTTGTCATCAGTAACGCTGTCGTTTGCACTAATTGCCCTATTGTTGATCCACTGTGTTTTCCTATCTTCTTTGTTAATATCAAACTCTCCCCCCGCTCTCCAAAAAATTGCGGTTTTAAGTACCGATAGAGCAGTAATCAAGGGGAAAAAGGAAAACGAAAGTGAAAAGACAACAGAAAAAATGAAAACTATTTGGTAGAAAGAAAAAAGAAGGAGAATAAGAAGATGATGATGATGATGAAGGTGATGATGATGATAATGATGATGACAGTGCAAGAAAAGGAGGAATCAAAAAGAAAAAAAGAAGAATGTATGTGCAAATTTGTTGAACAGCAACGGAATTGGATGCTCATGAAGAACACAATATCCCTTTCCTTGAGACTTCTCCCGGTTCTACACTGCTCCTATTCCCTTTCCGCTTTCTCCCATTACCCTTCGTCCCCTCCCTTGCACTGTTTCCTTCAACCATTTACCGCTTTTTCTTGTTGGTTTCCAGAAACAAAAAAAATCAGTGATCAAGCATTCATCTTCGTTTCGCCTCCTTATCCCTTTGCAGCCCTTTTTACCCAGTTTCTTCATTCAGCTTGCGTTCATCAACAAACACCTTTTCCTTCTTCTCTTTCGGGTCTCTTTTTTTATTAAACAAATATTTACATAGTTTTTTCATATTCCACCACTAATACCCAAAAAAGGAATTGGATGAATCAAAGAGGCAAAGAAAAAGACGAAAAATTTTTTCTCATTTTTTTTTTCAAATTTAAACCTTCTTAACTAAAAATGATTTTTAAAACAAAGAAAGCAGCTGAGGAGGAATGTAAGAGAAAAATTAAAATTAAGTTGAACAAAACAAAATTTATATTTATATTATATATCGCCTTAATGTTGACACTAAACCAAAAAAAAACAAAAAACAAAAAAAACGTTACAAATAGCTGACATTATTTAGCGCTTTGAACAGTGAGAAGATCAAAAAATTTGTCCTTTTTTTCTTGCGTAAAGGAGGGTTCAGAGCCGTTGTTTGTTGTCGTTTTTGTTGCTGTTGCTGGTGTTGCTACCAGTTGTTTATATTGTTTGGTGAAGATGACGTTCAAATGACAGCTTAAAGAAGACAGAAGAAAAAAAAATTAAAGAAAAAAAACTGAAGAAGAAAGCACGAATTTTTTTTCGAGCCGTATTTCCCAGATTTTGTTTAGGCTGAACATTGATTCTTTTTACGGCGTTTTCAGTCATAATACTGCAGTTGTTGTTGTTTCCGCTGTTACTCCTTCTGTTGCTCCTGTTTTTGCTGGCTATTGGTGGTTTTGCTGCTCTACCTTTCCTTACATTTCTTTACTTTTAGATTTCCACAGTGTCTTTTTTTTGCTCTTCTTCACCATTTTTCAATTCTGTTTTTAGGATTGTAGAAGGGAAAAGCAAAAGTTTTCATATTTTATTACTGAAAAGAAAAAGAACGGAAAAGAGAAGAAAGACAAAGAGTAATAAAAAGTATTTTGTGCTGTCAGTCGGTGTTTATAAGAAAATAAAAACTTCCCTTTTCATGACTGGTATATCCTCATGCAGCCCGGCACTGCCTGAAGTACGGTAAAAAAGTTCTGAATGATGGTAGTGACGAAGAGAGCAAGTGCTAAAGAAGAAAAAGAAGTATATGTATAGATACATATTTGGTTTAATAAGAATGGCCTTTAAAAATTGCAATTTCCGGAAGAAAACTGATGCTTATTTTTTGTAACCAAACCAGCATCAGATGTCTTCATCGTTGTCGTTGATTTCTTATTGTTGTCGTTGTTGTTGTTTCTGTAGTGGTGGTGATGGTGTAGGTAATGGTTGTCTTTGTAGTTATGGTCATCGCTTCAGTGTTGGTTGAAAGCGTAAATAAACTTACGGTGAAAAAGCAATGATGATTTGGTGGAGACACAGTACCACAGTATCTGATTGACAGGGGGCGCGGGGAAGGGACGATGATCAACTTTTTAGTACCAGTTGAGCATATTAGATAAGGGCGGTAGCTGTTGACGCGTATATAAATGTATCCTTTCTTTTTTTTTTCCTTGCCAAAAGCAGATGGATAAAGCAAAAAAAAAAAAATGATGACAATAGATTCAATTTTGCTTTGATCATGGAAAGCCATTGGAAAGTTTTCAGAGAGCAATTGAATGTTGGTTGGTGCTCTGAGGCATTATCGAAGAAATTGAACTTTTTTTTTGTTTTATCGACAACTCAACTGTTTAATATCAGCATTATTGAAAGTTGTACTTTTTTCCATTTCATTTGCGTTTGTTATCAGCTGAATTATAAATGTTTCGAGGTGTGCTGCCACTGGGATTATTGATTGCTCCGAAAAGTTACCGTTCCAAAACTGATTACCTTGTTGTTAGTTATTAAATTTTCAGCCAACTGACGTCACGAAAATGTCAATTATCCTTGAAAGTTTTATTTAGAGGAACAGAAAGGGCACGAAAGAGGGGAGGAAAGAGCGTGAAGAAAAAAAGTCGGTGAAGCAGTAGATACAATTTCATGGAATAAAAAAAAAAATAAAAAAAATTTTTTTTTTTTGCAAAAAAGCGAGTGCTTTTTCTTTCTCTTTTTTTTTTTTGTTTCGCCATTTGTTGCTTCTGTGCCGATGATCAGTTAAGTCATTTTTGAGGAAAATTTTCGTCCTGTTAACTACGCAGTATGTGTGAGCACATCTGAGTGAATGTGTAACAAACAAACAAAGTTATTTCAAACTTATTTCCTATCCAGAAAGAGACAAAAAAATAAAAAAATAAAAAGTTGCAATTGCCTGGCTTGTTGTTAATAAATTTTGATTAAACAGAAACAGAGTGGAAACACCCTCCCTTAGAAAACAAAAAAAAATTAAGCCAAAAAAAAAACGAATAAACAAAAATTGAAAAAAAAATTTGAAGCAGAAAAAAAAGCAATCGACAGAAAATATGTTGGAAGTGTTCAACACTCCTGGTGAAGGTGAACGATAGCAATAACAACGGGTACAGAGATATTTGGTGGAATAGGAGTGGGGGGACAGATGGATAGCTGGCAGAATCAGTAGTGGAGAAGTGAGGAGAGGAAATCAGATGAGATGGAAAAACAACAGTATGTTCTTTGCACTTAATTTTTCGTAAATCAGAACACGGTGATTAAAACTTCATCTTTTCGGCAAAAATATAAAAAAA